AAAAAAAATACAAACAAGTTTGTGCGCATCCATTAAGCATCCATGGCGTTCCCATCAGCTTCCCGCAGCGTGCCTGTCGTGTGGCGGGATGTAAAGTTGAACCCCCGAAGCGCCCCGATCCGGGCACGCCTTCCGCAGTGTCCTGCTGAGGCCGTTGTAAACGAAGGGGTTTGAGCTCCGGAGCCAGGATCAGGATGCAGGCTCTTGTTCCGGTGCTGAATGGATTAAAGACGGATGGGAGTAGTGGAATTGCTGTGCCACGGTCATCTCCTGAAAGTTGTCGGGATGTCTGTACTTGGTGTGACACAGTTTTGTTTTAGTGGTGTTGTCAGATTACAAAGGAGAAGGGCCGCTCTGATTGAGGGTACCTCTATTTCTTCAGCTGCTGTTGCTCTGCTGTAAAAAGGGCTCACTGAAAGGGCGGCGCTGGGAAAGCAATGATGGGCAGTCAAAATGGCTTTTTTCCCCTCAAAACCAGACCTTCCAGCCTCTGCCGTGCGCTGAGGTTGATTTTCCTGCCGTACGGGGAGGGCGAACGGTTTGAAGCTGCTGTTGATTTTGCAGGAGGCAATGCTGTTAAATGGGGTCTTTTTCTGCCGGCGCTAACGTACGTGCTCTGCTTTGCTTTTCTTCCAGATATGGACGTGTCGAAAGTGTCAAAATACTCCCCAAGAGGGGGTCGGAAGGCGGAGTGGCGGCGTTTGTGGATTTTGTGGACATCAAAAGTGCGCAGAAGGCACACAACTCTGTCAACAAAATGGGAGATAGAGACCTACGGACGGATTATAATGAACCAGGAACCATTCCCAGTGCTGCTCGGGGATTGGATGATACAGTTTCCATAGCATCTCGTAGTAGAGAGGTTTCTGGGTTCAGAGGAGGTGGTGGGGGGCCCACTTACGGCCCCCCACCATCGCTTCATGCACGGGAAGGACGTTATGAGCGGAGACTTGATGGGTAAGTTCCAAGGTTTCTCTAGGCAGGTATTTTGTATTTGATATGGTGAGAAACACAAACTCCTATCTAGGGCCCCCAGATGGATTTAAAATTTTGGGAATTATCTATGTTTCCTATTTTGGGTTGGAAACGGAAGTGATTTCTATCCCAGTGGCTGGTACCTTGTGGATCCATAGAGGATGTTTTCCGCAGCTGGTTGGATATCTACACTTGAAATAAGGTGGTTTTAAGATGGAAGATTTCCTTTGGCCAGCACCGTTATTGGAGTTACTCTTTTCTAGAAGTAACGATCCCATTTCTTGGATAATATTAAGGCCTTGCTCGGATGTATCCCTGCTGCCAGATGGAGCTATCTTACTCTACAACATGTGGTGAAGTTCTCTGTGGAGTATCTTCGGAATACTAGAACCTAAAATTCCGTGAAAGCTTGATGCCTAGATCTCAGTTCTCACTATACGCAGTTGGTATGTTAATTGGATTGTCACCACAAAATTTCTAGTAGACGTTAATGATGCAGCCCCTTGGATTCTACAGACAACACTTAGCCATGGAAATAACGCTTGGATGGAGAAGACCGAAGGCAGCTGGTGATGTTTCCATTTTGGATCTACATCATTTCCAAGTTATTGGGATTATTCTTTCTGATGGTATTGGCAAAAAGAGATGATGGACATGACTAAATTTTGGAAATTATAGTGTTCTTTTTTAATGCTGGGATAAGAACTACTGCCTTGAATTTATTGGATGGTATACAGTCAAGACGCCAGTAGCCATGGGGAGTGGATTACTATCTAGTCTCTTAAAAAGCTCTTTGCTACTACTCCACATTAAACATACTTTAGTTTTAAGGACGTGGTGCTAATGCCAGTTTGTGGATACGCCAGTGAGAAGTGACTGGGCTGGATGGTTACAAAGGCGGCTAGAGGATGCCTGCTGGCCAGCAGCGCTGAGCGCCCTCGTGCATCTTCTGCCAGCTGCTTGATCCAGACTTAGGGCTGGAAATTAAAATAATGGATCTATTTAAGTGCCTACTGTCTCAAGAAAGACGTCTGGGGGTTTCAGAGTTACGGTTTCAGTCTGGGACTACTTCCTGCCAGTGGAATTTTTTTGGTTTTGTCTTGTCACTAAGATTTTTTTCTTTTTTTTTTTTTTTCTTGTTGATTCATCTAAAATATCATTTGACACCCTTGCCCATTAAGAAGGTGGATTACCCCTGTAAGAGGGGCCAAAATTGGGGAAGTTATGTTCACAATTCTCTCCCTAGATTTAATTGGGAATATAGGTCGTGTTTCCACACTTGGAAAAGGTTGGTATGTCCTGCCCTGTGTATATTAGCCCCTCTCCTAACCCAAGTCAAACCCTCTCTTTCCACTAACTCCAGTAGTACTTAGTACTAATAGATAAATCAAAAAAGCACTGTAGCTGTTAGATTTTCAGCTCTGCTAGCTCCTCTGTCTGTCTTCTGTGTCCTTTTCATGGATGAGGACTTTGTTCTTTTATGTCAGCTACCTAGCAGTAACCCTCTAGAAAATACTGCTTTTTCTCTTACCTCATTAAATCAGCGTTCACTGATTAACACTTTGTAGGATGCTAAGTGCAATCATTTATAAAATTGTTGATCTTCAAAAGGGGGGAAAAAAAACCAAGAGGCACGGGTTTCTGTGCCAGATCCTGAAATACCTGTCAAAATGCCATTGTTGCGAGCGAGAGATAATGAAAGTAGAAAGGCAACAATGAATCTCAGGCGGATGTATAAGTTAATGATGTTCTGTTGACTGGTTAGGTGGTTTCTTTGTATATAATCCGAGAGAAGAAACGCAGGCAAAACATGAGCCAGCTCTGTAGAAGGCTTGAAAATGAGTTGCAATTTAACAACAGGGGATGAATGTATTTAGAGGATTAAGGGTCTAGTGATTCATGGGAGAGGGAATGGCAGGAACTTCCTGAGATGCCAGTCGAAAAAGATTCGAATTTTTCAGTTTACAAAAGAAACCTGAAATATTTCTGCCATTTTAAATAGAAGGCAGACCCGTGAGGCAGGAGAGGAGGAGGAAGCGCAAGGCAGAATCGGGTTATTAGGATTCAGGGCCTCGATGTGACTAATGATGGATTCTGCAGGAAGAATCCGAGAGAGAAGGCTGACAAAAAGAAGGTTGAGGTGTCCTTCATAAGACGGATAATTAAATTTTAAATTAACTGTGGCCACCCTGACATATTTGGGATTTTTGAAAGTGTTTTTTAAACATTCAACGTAATCATTCTTGATCTCTGGTTCTGCGGACGTGGCTTAAGACACACGATCCCGGTACTTGTCCACATTGGATTCGGAATGTTCTTTTACCTTTACCTGCCAGTCTTACGTCTCTTTATTTGAGAGATGACACTGACGTTCTTAGAACGTAAAGCCTGGCCCAGCTGACATCCAGAATGTTGGAAATACTGAACCAAAATGGACCGTAGCTACTAGAAAGTGTTGTGCTGGCGGAGACACGCGTTCTGTGACTGCAGTAAGAGCAGCAGTCTCAACAGAGAAACGCCTGCTGAAAACCTGAATTTGTACTCCTTGTTTAGGGCCTTAGTGCCTTTTTGGGGCCCGCGCCCTTGCAGTTTAAGTGTTCTGACATAAACTGTCCCAATGCATCTTTAGCTTGGGTGAGACTCGAGTGTAGCAAAATTCCCTCTAAGAGGGTGAAATATTGTAGAACAGCAACAAGAAACCCCCTGATTTTCTGGGTCTTTCCTATGGGTTATGCTACCCCTTTTGAAAGCAGCTTCTTACCTCTGGGTCATGCTTTGCACGGAGGCTTTCATGGCTACAGCCCAATTGGCGGTGCCGTTTTTGCAGAAGCATAATTAGAAGAGCTCCAGTAATTACCAAATTCCAGAAAAATTTCTGAAGCTCTTAAGCAAAAATGGAGGGGCAGGGGATGTGGAAGTTAATTGTGCTGGTCACAAACATGTTTTCCTTGTTTACGGAAAAGGAAAAAAAACCCAAATGCAACTTAAACGAGGATTCTGTGCTGAAAAGCAGGTTTTTTTCCTGTGCTGGCAAGATGCTGGTCATGAAAGCCCGATACTGTGATTAAACCAAATGATTGCTCAGCTTTGTCGTATACGAATGTAACTCTGGAGTCAAGTAAAATGTTTCTACTTGAGTTTGTTAGTGTTTGCTTAATAGGTTACTGCTGTTTAGCGGAGAAGCAGTCGCAGAAATAAGTTCAGTGCTGACGTGAATGTTTGCATGATTTGCTTTTAGCTGTGCTTGCCCCTTTCTGATGAAGTATTTTTCCCCCTTCCTAAATGCAGGGCTTCAGATAACAGGGAGCGTGCTTATGAACATAGTGCCTATGGACACCATGAGCGGGGGACGGGAGGATTTGATCGGACGAGACATTACGATCAGGATTACTATAGAGATCCTCGAGAGCGGACTTTACAACACGGGCTCTATTATACTTCTCGGAGTCGAAGCCCGAACCGTTTTGATGCTCACGACCCCCGTTACGAACCTAGGGCCCGGGAGCAGTTTACATTGCCCAGTGTGGTACACAGGGATATCTACAGGGATGATATTACACGGGAGGTACGAGGCAGAAGGCCAGAGAGGAATTACCAGCACAGCAGGAGTCGGTCGCCGCATTCGTCCCAGTCCAGGACCCAGTCCCCGCAGAGGCTGGCCAGCCAGGCGTCCAGACCCACCCGCTCGCCCAGTGGCAGCGGATCCAGGAGCAGATCTTCCAGCAGCGACTCCATCAGCAGCAGCAGCAGTACCAGCAGCGACAGGTAAGGCCGCTGCGGGCTGTTGCCAGACCCAGAGCCACCGTCCCCTGGGTTTCGCGGGTCGTTTTCCAAGGCACAGCAAGGAGTTGCGAGCCCGGGCTGTGAAAACAGGAGGTGTTTCTGTGGCAAAGCGGTGCTCACTGATGTAGAAGTAAACCGGCGTGAAATGTCAAAAGACCAAGTTGGCACGAAACGGATCCGAGGGGAATGCTGTCGCTGTTGTTAATTGCCTTCCGTGGTGGGTGTGCGCAGCATCCCTCAGGTGCTGGCTAGGCAAAGCGGGGACGTCGGGACACAGCCCTGGCTGCTGCCCGCGCGGTTGGAGAATGGGGCGAATGTTTTCTGTGCTGAAGTGAGGGAATCGGCAAAATTGAAGGTCAACTACTTCTTACTTAAAATGTTTTAGGACATGCTGAGGATTATTGTCCAGTTTCCTCTCATTCCCCTCACCACTAACGGTTAAAAGGTTGATATGTTGCCTTTCCATTCTCTTCTCTCTCTTGTCTCACAGCAAAAGTTGCAGACTTGGAAAAATTAAAACAACACAACCCCAGACCCAACAAAGCCAAGTCTGCAGTTCCCAGTGTCCTTGGCTCTGTAATAGCCACGGTGGTTGCCATGTGCGTGGCTTTATAAGCTACATGCAGGGGGACAAAGAAAGAGTAGTAGAGCTCATCACTAGCATTTCTTTTAATAATTTGAAAATTGGTGTTGAAATGCCTCTCGGATATACAGCTTTTTAAGAGTAAATTCACCCTCAGAGTGGAAGGCAAGAAGCCAGCCCTGCACCCGTTAACGTCCTACGCGCTGTTGGGTGAAGAGCTCTCCAGAAGGTCTTCCAGACCTGGAAACGTTTCGTTTGCATACCAGTTCTTTTCCAAAACCGGAAAACACTCACTAAGTAAATATCAGTGTAATAAATACTTAGTGTTCGATTATCACTACGAGTGGAATTTTACCACTTGGTAACCCTCTAATCAAGGCAGTTACTCTCGTAAAATCGTAGCTGCTTGAACGTTGGACCTTCTGGAAGGGTTGGACGGGCTGACAATGGGGAGACTCTGCGGAAGTGAAGATGAGGAAAGTAGTTTCTCCTCTTCTGATTTCCCCACCCCCCGATGTCTAAAGAATCATGCAAAGATTTATTTACTTCTTTTAATTACTGGTTTCTCCTGGATTTAGAAATCCAGGTCCGGTCTTGGTGGGAGAGCAGGTGGAGGGAGAGGCACCTCTAGAGTATCTGAGATCACTTTAAGGCTGCTTTAAAGGCTTGGGTTTTTTTAACACCTCTCTCTCAATGAGAGCTTAACACTTGCATTAAAACAACCCTTTGTCAAAGATTTTCACACTTACTCCAGCCTAAAAAAAGTCAGTGAGCCACTTCCAGTGGTCTCAAAAAAAGAAAACCAAACCCTAGAGGAGATGAATTGAAAGGAGGCCTGGTTACATTTAAGGTTTTAAAAAAAACCCATCCCAAGCAGGAAAAAAAAATCTCTCTTCTGGTGCTTCTTTGCTGGTTGCAGAGTAGAGAGAAGGGAGTCCAAGAAACCCGTGTAATATTTATAGAATGTCATTGCTGGGATGTCGAGACGGGAGGAAATACTGCTCTGACTTTGAGAGGACTGAGTACGATCCCACTGGAACAAAGTTTTAAGATGTAATCAGAAGATAAGCAGCGTCTGCTCTGCTTTAGCATTTCATTTTCTTGGCCATTTTTAGTTGTAGTTGTGAAAAACCAGACGAGATTCTGGAGAGAAGGGAAATAAACATTCTTTTTCTTATTAGCACAGTAAATTCAAATTCAGTAGAGTGATGGGATGTGGTGGACAGTGTATTTCATTGTGGAGGATCAGAAAGGAGTTTTACATGTTTATAAGCAGTCAGTAGATACTAATAAACATTTAATGGTATCTTTACTTTGTAAAGCAAAACCTCACCTGGCCTTGAAGTCTTTTACAGCATAGCTGGACTTTTCTGTTTTAATTTTTAACACGCTATGGATTTAGCAATGTAGATACGTAACCCCCCTGTACCCTGCGGTGAGCGAAAGCTGCTTCCGCTGCGTTTTACTGGTACGGTGCTCCCGCTCCCTGTGCCATATATCCAGGTTTCACTTGCCCAGACCAGGCAGAAAGGTATTTGCATCTCCGTTCTTGGGTAGGAAATCCTGGCAGGGCCATCCTCAGCTTGATTTACCAAATTCCCCATCCGCTTTTCATTTCTAGGGCGGGATTTAGCTGGAACAACTTAGGTTGGTTTGTTATTGTCTGAAGAAGAATTACTTCTTGCCATTTTTGGTAGTGTTTCTCAGGGGTTTTGGCAAACTGAGAATCCACTTAAGACTTTATTCTGAGTGGAAATGGCCAATTTGTGGCGCTGTGAAATTATTAAGGTCTTTACGACACTGAAATGTCTCGAAGAGCTTTGTCACTCAAGTCTTGTCGTGTCTGTCTCCACTGTGGCTGGGTGGGCAAGGCGAACCCAGTTGTGTTTCCTCAAAGAGGTGGGTCGCTCACCCATGCTCGTGTCAGTGCCTGGGGACAAATGCTGCGGCCCGACGACACTCGAGGGTGTTAAAACACGTGTGAGAATTTTTGTGCGTGGCACCGTCCTTCGGGCGCTGTGGAAAACGGGCGGAAAGGTGGTGAAGGAGACGTTTGGGCGTCATTCCTTGTGGTTTTCAAAGCGCTGGGTGATGTAGGGCTTTCCTTACGTAGAGATGGCTTTCCCAGACAATAATGTGAGGAAAGATGTGCTGCGGATTGTTTAAAAAAAAATTAAAACAACGAAAAAAGCATTTATTTCGTAAAGGTTCAGAGTTTGTTGCATTGGATCTTGGCTAAGCTTCGCTTTCAGTGCACATTGGGAGGCCGTTTGGGAGCTGCAAAGGAGTAGTTTAGAAGGTAAGGCCAGAGAGAACAGGGCACAACCAAGCCATGTTCTCTGAAACGGGGCTTTAGGTGGTGGTTGGCGGGCTCTCTCAGATGGCATCGCCGGTGCTGTGGTGAGGGAGAGTCGGCGTTTTGAAGTTGCCTTCGCGTGAGGTTTCTCCTTTGTCCCTCCCCATGTTACGGAAAAGGATTGTTGGGGGTTGTTTCTTCTTTTAAATTGCTTTGAAAGAGTAAAAAAAAAAAAAAATCAAAAATGATGTTTAAATTTCTGCCACTGGAAGCCTTAATTTCTCGTTTTTGTCGATTCGAACGCGCACCGCAGCGCTACGTCCACAACCGTACCTTCTGTGGCGTGTCATGCAAGAAGCTGAATATGCGTTGAAGCCGTGTGATCCCGTGGGAAGCAAACCAGGTTTTGTTCCTGTCCTGCCCAACGCCCTTAAAAAAACCTCCCCCCTCCTTTGTTTTGTGTAGAAAATGGTCTAATTCTGCGCATTTTTATTCCGGGTTGGGATGTCGGCTGGCTTTGCGCTGTTCTTGCTCTTCCACGTGTCTGTGTTTATTTTGAAAGCGTTGGGGCGGCTGGGTACCGAACCACAGGGCGCTGAGCAGCGGGACGGTTGGCTCTTAAAACGCTGGGCGGCACCTACCTTGTTGAGACAGGGAGTTAAACTTGTTCACAGCAATCCTGGCAGAAGAGTTTGACTTCCTGAGGTGGTGTCCGGAAGGTGAGTGGGAACACCACCTTGTGCGTGTAAATGTGCGGAAAATTGACCCGAGATTTCCTTTTGCCTGCTTTTCTCATTTCGTTTTTGAGTGCTTATTCGGTGGTCTGAAGTGGAGGAGGATTGTTTACTAGTTAGATGGATCGTTTCCTGTAGCTTGTAATGGAAAATAGCTCTGGAATTAAAGCAGCTTCAGCTTAGAGGCAAAGTGACTTCATTTTCACCCGGATTTAGGAGAGCGTAGTGATTCCCATAGCGTGGAATTACAGCGATGGTTAAGAATTTGCACATCTAGAAGCCTGAAAATGGATTGTTTTCCATAATTGCGATAGCTCTGCTATGGTTCTGAAGATAAGTGGGGCAAGGCTTTCATAAAGTAATTAGAGATCATAATTGTAGATTTCTCTGTGATGAAATTCTTTCTGGAGCAATGAAGTTGCAGTTGGAATACGTATGCGTTATGTGTCTTAATATTGAAATAAACTGATGAAAAATACTGCCAAGAGAATTTTAATCATGGGAAAAACAGGCTCTCTGACACCTCCCGTGGAGGCTGAAGTGTATTTTGTTGGGGACTTTCTTAGTCCGTTTAAGCAGCTGAAGTGAAAGTAGAAAAAAGTGAATGCAGTTTCGTTACATAATGCAAGCCTTTCCCTCCCATTGTCTTCATCTCCTCTTTTCCGCTCACTTTGTCTGCCAGCAAGTGATGAATCACTGACGTCGAATGGGATTTAGGGTTTTTGAGTGGGTTGGGAGATGCCTCTGCTGGGGACAGCTGAAAAATCGGGAAGAATGAGGTTAGATGTAGCTGCTCCGTCTTTATTTAAGGATCTGCGAGATGGCCTTTGCCGATGTTAAATAATTCCACATAAATGTCACACTGTAGAGATCACCTGAATAATTTTAATCATCTGGTAGGATGAGAGGGTTGAGCACGCTGATATTTGTATGGAGGAAAGAATTAGGTTAAGATTAAAGAAAAAAAGGCATAGAGGAGGAGGCCTGATTTTTGAATTACCACAAAGGCAATAGTGTAAGAGTCAGGTGAAACACCTCATCTTTACCTTTTGTTCACATAAAGCCGCGTGCTGCTTTGATGTTCTCCGTACAGGGAAACGTGAATTAGGGAAAGGAAAATTTAAAAATCCACCTGGGATTTTCTCAGGTTTGCGTTACCAACTGTCGAGCGTCTTCGCTTTGTTCTTTCTTGTGTTTATGTCAGCCTGCGCTGCTTCTCGGCTAAATATAACCGAGACCATCCTCTGAAATGGGTTTTTTTACCCTTGGGAGTGTATCAAGTTGCTCGAAACCGAGCACAGGCAGAAGATTTTCAGATGGCTTTGAAGAGAGAGGAGGTGTTTTTGTGCTGAAGAGATTCGAATACGGAAAGC